GAAGTATTCGATTTTCTGATTATCTCTTATGTCATACTGTCACCAGCTTCCTGGTCACTATGGAGACTATAAAACAGATAGGCTACATGTCTGATGTAGAAAGCGGAGCAAAAAATTTGCTTTCGTATCTACTTTACACGTTCTAAAAGAGCAAAGTATGGGCAAAATTCCAGCTTTGAAAAAAAGAACCTGTTAGGTTGCTTTTAGGATCACAGGCTTCTTACAATCCAACAATATCAGTACTTGTCTTAAAGGCACAAGTTTTTTATTCCAGGTGTTTCTGGCTGCAGAGCCAGAAGCTTGATTCTCATAATCGTGTTTTTGTGTTTTGTTTTTTTTTTTTGCTGCAGATGCCGCCTCCTTACATAGCATATGGTAGTAATAACAGTTTCAGACTTAGTTCTGAGTTTTCTTCTGCTTCGATTATTGGTTGGTTTGGGACACAATTTTAATGTCACAGGAACAAGACTTTTCTGTCTTGAGTTTAATTGGAGACAGGAATAATGTGCATCTCTAGATGAGAAAGGAGAAGGTGAGATCTATTTAGAGCGCTAAGAGATATTTTGGAAATCTCGCGAAGTATAACCTGTTTCTTTTCATTAAGCTTTTCACTGTCTCTCTGTAGAACTGAAATAGGTTTCGGTTGGAAAAGGAGAGAGACAATTTGAAAGATACAGTTGGAATGAATAGTTTCTTTTAACAGCAAAATGTTTGCACTTTTTATGAGAGCAATTGTAACATTGTGTAATCTTTAAAAAAGATATTGCTTAGTGAGGATAAGTCCATTGTGTGGTGACATGACTTTTCCTGTCAATCACAAAGGTGACAAGGGGGCTAGATTACGTAAAGCTTGCCCAAGATTAACAAAGGAAGATTATTGACCTCATCCTGAAAGGGCAGAAGCCTGTTTTATCATTAAACCTTGGAAGAGGTAGTTCCTCCATAGGTGGAAAGCTGTTTGGCAACTTTCTTGTAAAGGAACAAGTCTTCCTGTGGATTCTAGCTTGGAACAGAAGCAGAAGACGTGAAATGTGGGCCAGTGCTTAGTTTTGTTGGTGTTGGGGAGGAAAAAACAGCCTAGGGTGTTTGATTCAGCAGTTTGATTTGTGTAGGTCCTTGTCTGCCTTTCTGGAGTGGGAAAAGCAAGAAGCAGCAGCATCAGGTGTTGGTGAGTACAGTCCCAGCTCATAGTTCAGTCAGAGGTGCCAGCTCACATCAGCAGAGCAGTTCGCAGTGCGAATGAACAATAGAGTTCCATCCACGAAGCAGCTGCTAACTGCATAAAACTGTTACCAGGATTAACAGTGCCAGAGGCTGGAATGTAATCAAACTTGGAACAGGTGAAATGGTTATGCAGCTAAGAGTCTGTTCTTCTGTAAAAGACTGTTTTTCCACTGTTTCTGTGACTGATAGGTCTTATGTGTGGCTTGATGGACTTGACTTTAAAATGTCAGCAGTAGGCATTTAGGTTCTTTAATACTCTTTGCTGTGTTGCTGCTTTTCTCTGAGTAACTAAAAAACATTATGTGAATTTGGCCTTTCAAAAAAAGAACCTGCTGAATTTCACTTATCGGGAGGAAAGTTCCTTCTCAGGGGATTAATTTTAGTGTTGCTCGTGTATCTTTATTGCCATTAAGGATTTCTTTGAGTGTTTTCAGAGGGATAGTTAAACTCTCATATGTAATACCAGAGGATTTTCCTCGCTAGAAGTTTTTTAGCTTTATACAACCATTGACATGAGTAGCTTTTATATGGAAGTACCCTTTCTTTGTACATGCTAAAAGTAAAAATCCAGAACCATTGAAAGTTTTTTTCACTTTCCCCAGTAACAGCATAAGAAAGAGAAAAAATAAAACAGAGGGACGTAAAAGGGAAGACAAGATAATAGTTGAGCATTTCATGTTGTTCTGAATGACAGAATAAAAAGATTGTGGAGATGTGGGGAAAACATGCTTGAGCTGGTGTGCTAGAGGATACATGTTAAACTCTCATCAACAGCACTAGCTGGTGCGTGCACTTAATCTGCTGGTATGGGAAGGAAAGGATTCCTGTTAGATTGCAAATCACGCAATGTATGTGTGATTGCCGCAGATCTTTTTGAATGAATAATTCACTGGTGTACTGTAATTTAGCCCACTGAGATGTGATTGCAGCTGTTCCCCTACTGTATATGTGTTTTGATTAAGTGGAGTATATCTTAAACCCCACAAGTGTATAAATAGCCCGTGTATGTGATACGCAAACACTGCATACATGCACACCTAACAAGAGCAGTCTAAGGAAACATTTTGTTTTGGGAATTATTACTTAGATGTATATATTAATATATAATTTATCTATTTAAAAAATCTGTGTAAAGCACTCCCCTTTCCTTTTTTGTCCAGCTATGAAGTTGTCTTAACTGTGGCACTGCAGATACGCTTTCAGCAGGATGCCTCTAGGTTATTAATGAATTTATAATTTCAAAGCCTTTATAATGTTAAAAGTTACTTCTTTTTGTGCTTATTTTGCAGGTAGTAAACTAAACTGCAGAAGTAAAAGTGAATTTTTCCATGCTTGTGCAGAACATGTGAAAGAACTAGAATTGAATATCCAGAGTCTGTTCATGATGTTTTACTCACAAAGTACTCTCTTGTCCTCTCCCCCTCATGATTCCTTTTCCCCAGAAATAGAGGCAGGGAAATTTTAGTAGTTTTGAAAATACTTGTGAGCTCTATTTGAATGCCAAGCAATTTGTGATTTTGACAGTCACCTTATATTACTTTTATGTGTCACTCAATCCTTATGTTCTTATGCTTCTTCTATTTTAACAAACTTGTTTCATACTCAGAATGTATTTATACAAATAAACCCACTTACATATACCCAAAATGTATGTGGTAAGAGCAGTGATGTTTCCTGAGGTTTAAGCAGCTGTTTCAAGTACTTTGTATCTGTGACCAGTGTGTGACATACACAGAAACACGAGTGTCTTTGGGACCCACTTTGGAAAAAAACCAAGAAACTAGTTCCTGGAAAAATAAGGAATGATACTGTTTGTATACATAATAGATGGTATAGGTGCATTTAAGAACTGTAGGGGTGACATTTGGCTCATAAGTCCTCAAAGTGTGAATAAGAAAGCAGCTTTCCAGATACTTCCTCTTTTGGCCTTGTCTGTAGAAAAAAAATTGCCACTTGGTAATAATGGGTTTGAATGTTAGATAAAATCTGAACTGATGCTGAAGTTTAACACTTTTGTTTGTCTAGGTCAGTGTAAAAAAACAGTATGTGGAAAAAAAAATACATTTAACTTCAACTCGTTTTTGAAGTCCAATGTTAGCAACTAGTAATTTTTCAAGTGCAGAACAGAAATGGAGGGAGTTGCAAGGAAAAAAGGAGCATTTCTGTTGACTAGAGTCGGAAAATTTTTTAGGGCTTGGTCAAAAGCTCATTGACGTCAGTAGAAAGTCTCTCATTAACATCACTGGGTTTGGCTTTTGGGGCATATGATGGCCCAGATTGTAATCTCAATTAAATCCGATTCTGTTAGGGAATTTATCCACTAGTGCAACACATTCAAGCTGCTCAAAACTGTTTGTACTAAAAGTTTTCTTAACCAAAGGTAATCTTTTTCATAGACACTTTGTTTTGGCAGAACAAACACATTCTTACTTCCTGTCTTCCATGTTGCTTTATTCTAAGTTTAATGAGATAATTTTTTAGCAATTTGTGTTCTGTTTATGAAAAGACACTTTTTTTTTTTTTTCCTGAAATATTAGGGTTTATTAAACCAGAGACACCAAAAATTGCCCAGGAAAAAAATAAGCACAAATCACTAAAGTCTGTATATCTGTTTCTTTCATACTCTATAAAATGAAAGCAATTTAAAAATTATTAAGACCTTTTTATCCACGTCTGTAAATCAGATCACAAGATGGTCCTGTGACTTTTCTAGAAGTAATACTCATTAAGCATCTGAAATACAAAAATGCAAGGAAATGAGATGATGAAAAAAAAATCTGGAGAATCTGATCAAAGTGAAAAATGTTCATGTTCGCAGCGTTGTATTATGGAGTGTACGTACTCTGCAGAAAGATTTGTTCGAAGACATTGACCTAAGTTTTGCAAAACAGTGTGTGTTAGCAGGTTCTCAGAGATGTGTACAGAAAGGTAGGGTATAAAAGTGACATAAAAGGGAAAAGGAATATGTGTAGAAAATGTTGCTTTATGTTGTGGGAGGCATGGAGTAGAAGGCTCTTACATTAATGAATGCAAGTTTGAAGGCAATGGACCAGTTTTGCTTTCCATTAAAATTAATGAGTAGATCTCTATGGATTCTCACGTGAGGAGGATTGTGTTCCAGGAGGTCACAGTTTTGCCACTGTGCCACCAATGAAAGTCATTAGAACCACCTTTGTGAGAAATAATGTCTCTACAAAAAATAAAAGTATGAAATGGAAGAGGAGCATAGGAAGAGAATTAGAAAACAATAAGCAATTGCTTCACCCTTTATAGACGGAGAACTCCTTGAACTGTGAGTTAAAAGAAGTCATATGATGAAAGGCATTTCGTATTGGTTACTACTTCATTTTACACAAGAACTAACTATCAGGGCATTAAGTACTTTATAAAATCAGGAAATTAACGGTCCTTGTAAAAATTGAAGACTTTTTTGAAAGAAAGCTGCAAAAGAACAAACAATTAAAGGTAATCAATACCATTGTTATTAGGAAACCCATGAGTACAACACTTCTCAATTAGGGAGAAACTGTAATATATGTTTTTCTCTTGCAAGCTGATCTTTGTTCACTTGAGCCTGTAATCTTAGTTTATGCTTTATGGATAGGCTTTGTTCTGGGTGTTTTTGAAGCATTGCATGCCTTTTTAAAGGCTTCAACAGAAGAACAAACAGCAATGAACTCAAAGAACAAAGGATTTTTCTCTCTTTCCATCTTTATTTTTTTCTGCTTTAAGAAAAGAAAGGAGTGTTTCATCTTGGGCTTTTTTTTCCCTTTCAGGAAGTTGATGGCAATAAAGTGATGTCTTCATTTGCCCCGCACAACTCATCTACCTCACCCTTGAAGGCAGAAGAAGGTGGGCGTCAGAGTGGAGAGTCATTGTCCAGCACAGCCCTGGGAACCCCTGAAAGGCGCAAAGGGAGCCTAGCGGATGTTGTAGACACCCTTAAACAAAGAAAAATGGAAGAGCTCATCAAAAATGAGCCAGAAGGTAAGGCCTAGGAAACTATCCAAAATTTTCTGTTTTGTTTTCTTTTCTCCAGATTCTTTGGATATATATACTTCTTAATCTTCCCATTTTCTGCTCTGCTTGCTTTTTCTTAATACCAGAATTGAAGTAAAGAACTCCTATTTCTTGTCTACATTAAAGATTTCATCAATATCCCATCATAGCTAACATTTTTAGCTGTTCCAAAATGAGAGCCTTTGTCTGACATAGTGGATTTTTTGTCACAGTTGCAATAGACACAGCAACCTCCTCAACATGAACACTGTAATTTTAACAGCCTGAGGGTCGTTTACACCACTGATCTCTCTTTCCTCATTTCCAAAGCAAAAGGCAGAGTTATCAGCAATGTCAGTGTTTTTGAGAAACCGTCTAGTAGGCGTGTCATTATTTGAAAGGTAAGAAGTTAAATTTGGAATTTGTTAAAGCTTCTGTATGGAATGTGCTATCACGTCAGCCTCTGTTTATCCGTAGTGCAGGTACTATACAAACAGGCACAGTACAGGCTTTCTGTGCATTATGTCTGGCCACCAAGTTTCAATATTGGCATATATGGGTATCATCTCTGGAAAATCCATTTCTTTTTGAGACTGTATATTTAGTTGTGCTCCACTTGCGCTCTGTGGGCTGAGACTAAGGCAGAACATCTCTCTTCTTAGAAGCCACAGAACAGCTTTTCTTTAAGTAAGATTTTCCATTCTTGCCTATGTGAGGCACAATCAAACCCCTGACTGGAAGTTGAAGTTCTCACTATATTCTCTATAGGTATTCAGCATACATATTTACAGCGAGATTTTCAGGGGACTGTGAGCCAGTTGGTGTTGTGTGAATGTACTGAGCCTTGTTTCCTAGTGCACAGTAGTAAGACTTTACTTTCTTACATACTTGCCTATTCTGTTACAGAAATCTATTTCAAATGTTTAAAAGCATGGCCCTCAGAGCCTACCCCAGTGTTGAAGTATGACTTGATAGCACCTTCAAGAAAGTTTAGGCCAACCTGTATGCTGAAATGAAAATACCGACACAAACACAGCCACATTGTCACATACATGAGTATGACATGAGGACTGCAACTAAGTCTTCTCTTCTTTAATGAGCATGCAGTAAGGGTCTGCTGGGAAACAAATTCTTTGTCTTAGCAATTTTTTTAATATTATGTATAATCATAACATTTCATTTTGCACTAAAGTTTGACTTAATGGTCAGTTTCATGACCTCCCTTGTGACTCTGAATAGAAAAGATCTTTCCTATGTATGGATGAAGTGGGGTGAAGGAGATCAGGCTTTTCATATGAGAGGAAAGAAGAAGGGGTTCTAGGCAATGTATAAGTACACTCCTGAGTATGAGGTTGTACAAGCTGCACAGACTCCGTTAAGGAAAGGCTACAGATAGATATGAGAATGGTTACAGAGCTTGTGCATTATCTCAGCTCTACTAAAATGAAAATGTACAGTACAAACAAAAGATGTACAGCTTTGTGAAGAGACTGGGAGAGAGGAGGGGGAGCAACTGAATGTTGGGCTTTGCAAATGCCTGCAACAGAAAATCTTTTCTTCCCTCTAGCCATTGTTCTATTGTCTTTCAAAGGCCATTAAAATGAACAGCAGGTTGTGATGAAAATTTCATTAAGCCCTAGTTAAATCATTATGAGGGTGCCATATTCATGTCTCTGCTTACTCCCCATCCAGGAAAAAATGAATAGGAAAGGGTTGGGTTGGGTTGTTTTTTTTCTTTCTCCTTAAAAGCGAGCTAACAAAAGTTGAGAAGTTAGAAGAGAATGGGAAATGGGACATGAAACAAAAGGAGGCCAGAGAGGTGAGCTGGCTAGGAAGAAAATTAGACTTGCATAAGAGCATTGAAAGGTGGTGAGGGACAAACGCGTCATTTTGACAAGTCTCCCTCCCCCTTCCCTTCAGCCAACATGATTGTTTTTAGAGTGGCTAATTAAAAAATATATATTTCTGGGTGCAGATGGCAAGACTGTTCTTAGAGTTCCTCCACAAATATGACTCCTTTTCACTAAAAAATGTATGTGCTACTGCAAGCACAATGTCTTCTCTGTTTGAACTCCACCAGAAAATCTACTTATTGTCACGTCTTCTTCATGTAGTGCTAAAGTAAAGTTGTCAGTCATCACTGGTTGGTAGTCAGGTAATTAGCATATTAATGAATTACCCCATGAATAAGATAGGTTACAAGTGGGAATCTTTGGTAGTACATCTAGGTAACGATTCAACAGTGCATGATCACTGTGTATTTCAGTAATAATTTTTAGTCCTGATAGTTTGTGGAGCTTTGTAGGAGAAGACCAGAAATCTTGGTTAAGCTTAGTGCATTATGTCAACAACAGTAGCACAATACTTTATTTCCCTTTGGAAAGAAAAGGAAACATTTGCACCAGTAGCCAAGGTTTAATTAAATCAATTTCATGTGAATCTTTCGAAGACCCGATATGAGCCAGATTCAAATTTCTCTATGTACTCAAAAGTTTATATATTATTTAACTTGTACAATGGGCTGTGTTTGCTTTGTTTTTATTGTTTGAAATTGTCTTCTGAATTACTGTGGGAAATGTGCTTTTGAAGCAGCCTTTCAAATGGCCTGTTTCTTCAAAACCAGGAAAAAAAAAGGGCTGAGTAGACAACTTTAGGTCTTGATCAAAACCTCCTGTCAGTCAGGGAAAGAACTTCTCTTTCTGAAATGGGTTTTGAAGACAAGTGAGATACTCCAAAATATTGATAACAGGTCTGACTGTTTTTAACAAATTGCATTTATATAAAATAAATGATTTGCTTAAATTGTATTTCTTAGGAAGTGAGAGTAAAAATTAGTAAGTTTTGTCAGTAAAGAAGAAGGATTGTTATGAAACAGTGTTATGAAGCATACTGCTCAGGCTTCATGAATGCACACATATATGTATGCATGTATGTAAGCACATACATGTACCCAAACATGAACTAACAGGGAAGCATCACTTTTCACATGAATTGATTCCATGTTGATTTGTTGTATAGATGCCCTTGATTAATGTCCCCTGTAGGAAGGCATGCTACCTACTTATTCCAAAGAGCTTCCCAAAAGCTTGTCACTTCCTTTTCTTCCTTGCATATGTGTTGTTTTTTTTTGCAATGTGTATGGTTTTTGTTTTCATAGGGGTCTATACTTAGCTCTAAAGTGCCATGCTCTTTTTTTTTTTTTACCCCTAAACTTGCCATTTTACTCTTGCTGTATTCATGTGATTGACAATGAGTCATGCTGACACAGAGACATAGAGTGTTTCAGTGAGTTTAAAACTTGCGGAATTTTACTCATTGCTAATACGGTGCTCATTTTTCTTCTCTCAAATTCTGCGGAAAATCCTTATATGCAGCTTTAGTATTAGGCCCCCAAAGGCATAAACCTATTACTGAAGTCACACAGTGTTATTTTACATGAAACATTCTGTCCTTTCTAACTTGAACTTCAGAAGAGGAGTCAGTCCCCTTTTATTCCTGGTATACAATAATGAAGATAATGGAGTGGGTTTGGAGAAGCCTTATATACTGTGACAGACCTCAAGCCCTTGCCCTGGGGGTCATCTGCCGACGATGGGATTCCTTTTGCAGCTAAAATCATTAGGCGAATGAGATACAGGCATGTTTTTCTTCTGTTTTCTTAAGGCATCACAGGATGGCAGAGACTCTCTGTCTGTTCTCCTCATTTGTAGAAATGAAATGGAAATCTCTTTGAAGTCACTGAGCTTGACACAAGTTCATGAAAGCAAAGACCAAAGCAACCACTTAACTTTTTCTTGCACTATTAATGGGATTGGATTGCTGTATTTTAATTTATGGCCTGCGCTTCTGGAAAATTAGATCTCTGAAATCTGTGTAGCCTTTCCTCTAAATGTATGGCTTGGCTTCTGGAAAAAGAAATAGGCAAATAAATAAATTCTCTCCTATTTTTAGAATAAGCTGGAGTACTCCCTTTTTCTGCATCTCCTAACTTTTAATCAGGAATCAATCTTCCTTTTCCATTCTGGCAGTATAAGTTTGGATCAGGTTATGGATCTGTCTGTTTATCTTTAAAACGTACATGCTTCATCGTCTGAGGCCAGATCTGTGTTATTGTGCAGAATTTGTACTATTTCTGGATAAAAGGGATCATACGGGCATCTGCCTGACCACAGGGACTGCGAATATGGGCAGGTGCATGTGTGAGTGCACTCGTTCATCTGCATGGTGTGTGCTTCTATAGTAAGGACCTCTGAAGCTCAATTCAGTTTTGCCACTTAATACTTTGAATTTTATATAAATACATGTATGTAGATATACGTGTCTATAGAATGCATGTATTATATATGTATTTAGACATACATATATATATATAAACATGCACACACAAGAATTGTGTATATATGTTTCATATTGTTCCTATTATATGAAATTTCCATCTAGTAGTCCTTAGGTCTTCTGAGCAGGAACAGTTAATCTCAGGTGTTTAGTAAACAGGTAATACATGTGTTTGCAGGGCTTTAACAGGCAATGTGAATACTAGAGCCTCATGTATTATAGTATGCTGCAATATTCTAACTAATCACTTTGTTTGAATGAGAGGAATGAGAAAGGCCTCCCAGGCATGATTTTTGTCTTCTGACCATCCCCAAAAGGCTATTTGTGTTTGATGTTTAAGTTTACATTATAAATCATAACACCTGTTCATGTGGTAATTTAAATGGCTGTTGTTTAAGCAGTTCTGTAGTCTGTGAAAGTGAAACATACTGAATTTGGGTTCTCTAGTTAAAATAAGATCCCAAAATATCTACTAATGTTATCAAACTTTTAATCAACATATCTTTTAAAGAAATCAAGAGGTTTTCCTCTTCTTAAGCCATAAATTCCAAAGCAGGCCATTAATGGGCACAAGAAAGGAGGCCTTTGAAATGCAGACTCTTGTTTTCAAATCACATCTGATGAGATGGGAATAAATAAAGTGAACAGATTCG